CTCTTTTATTAAGAACAGACATTTATTTTTCTAATTATTTTGGCATTTATGTTTACCAATCACAATTATGTACATGATTCACTAATATTTGACTCCATCATTACTGTTACTATTAGACTTGGAACCACATTTATTTTTGTATGAATTTTAAGCTATTTTACAGTTATAACTAAAAATACAATTTGAAAATAAGCGACCTTAATCTGCACAGTGTTGAAAGCTATGTGTTTAGCTATTTTTTTTTAAACTGGCATTGCTAACGTGAGTACAAGCTTAAGTTACTTTCTAAAAGATATTTATTTGATTGTACCACTTTAAATAATGAATGACAAAGCACAATATGGTGATAAAAGTAAAAAATGATAATTACTCCATCCAGGACAGGTCAGGCATTTAAGAACTCAGAAAATTAAATTTAAGCATAAGAGAGAAACAAAACTATGAAATGAACAGACCAGTCAAAAAAACTAAAATAATAGGATTGTAACCCTTAATGAACTTTGAAAGAATAAAATTACAGGGAATATATATGCACTGCACATTTAATAGAATCACAGAATCATAGGATTAGAAGGGACCGCTCTCTATACCTACATCCAGGTCATTAATAAAGATGTTAAACAACACAGGACCCAGAACAGATCCCTGTGGAACCCCACTTCACACTTCCCTCCAATCTGACATAATTTCATTAATAATTATTCTTTGTTTGTGGTTGTTTAACTGATTATGTGTCCACTTAATGGTAGGTCCACCAAGCCCACGTGTCTCTAGCTTACTTATCTGGATGTCATGTGGCACTGTGTCAAAAGCCTTGCTGAAGTCCAGGTATATTATGTCCACTGCATTCCCCCTATCCACTAAATCAGTTACCCTGTCAAAGAAGGAAATCAAGCTGGTTTGGCATGACTGGTTCCTGGTAAATCCATGCTGGCTGCTCGTGCTCACCCCTTCATCCTTCAGGTATCCACAAATTAAATGTTTTATATGTTGCTCTAGGAACATCCCAGGTACTGAGGTCAGTGTGACTGGTCTATAGTTCCCGAACTCCTCCTTTCCCCCCTTTTTAGAGATGGGCACTATGTTAGCTCTTCTCCAGTCTTCTGGGAACTTTCCTTCCATCCATGAGTCTGTAAATATTTTTTGCCAGTGGCTCTGAGATTTCTTCAGCTAATTCCTTTAGAATAGCATCCAGCCCCTGTGATTTGAATTAATTGTTTTTGTTTTTTGCAATGTAGATGTACCCCCGGAGTCCTTTAAACATATCGGCCCTTGATGAGTGTGGGGATGACCTGTATAATTTTTAATCTGTATCCCAAAATGTGGCTTTCTGTGAGGCTATCAGAGGGCAGCAGACAGTTATAGCACACTCATCCACAGGGAGACACAATAATGAATGACAAGTCATTAAGGCCAAATGGGTCTAATTAGCCAAAAAAGCAAAGCTTCAGATATGGTCTCCCACAGTATTCTTGCCAGCAAGTTAAAGAAATATGGGTTGGATGAATGGACCATAAGGTGGATAGAAAGCTGGCTAGATTGTTGGACTCAATGATCAATGACTCAATGTCTAGTTGGCAGCCGGTATCAAGTGGAGTACCCCAGGGGTCGGTCCTGGGGCCAGTTTTGTTCAACATCTTTATTAATGATCTGGATGATGGGATGGATTGCAAGTTCACAGATGACACTAAGCTGGAGGGAGAGGCAGATAGGCGGGAGGGTAGGGATAGGGTCCAGAGTGACCTAGACAAATGAACAAGAAGCAATCGTCTCAAGTTACAGTGGGGGAGGTCTAGGTTGGGTATTAGGAAACACTATTTCACTAGGAGTGAAAAGGAAAAGGAACAAAGAATGGTATTAAACTAAAGGTCTTAGTATTTTATATTTTAAATGCGTAGTGTTTTCTTTTTCTTCTTCTGTATCTTTGATAAATGATTCTAACAAGTCTTAATGGTGTGTTTGTCATGGAACTAACCAGGCTGAGGTTTCTGTACTCAAAACTCATACCATGCTTAGCTATTTAGTGTCATGCAGCAACAGGATCATGTGAACACCTATTACTCTCTTGTCCCATTTATTCCAAACAACGTTTGTTTCTGTACCGTCCTCTTAAGAGTGTCTAACTTAGTGTGTCCCACCACACCTGCAGGGTGATTCCTCTACACAGGGTAGTGTACCTACTCCTGCACTAAGAGGGGAAGAATTGCACAAAATTCCACTCCAAAACAGGGAAGGGCAAGGGGCCCAAGATAGGAGGAGTGTGTTTTTGTAGGGTGACAAATGTCATTGCCTTGTTGCGGCCTCTCTTCACCTTGGAAGAAGGCCCACATGAGCCACCTCTCACTATCCATGCTAGTTACCTGCTCTCCTCATTGCAAACATGTCCCATGCCATCCAGCTTGTATGTAATTTTCTGCAATACCGCGAGCTGGGTAGAGGGAGGGTAATTCTGTGTGGCAGAGGATTTAGATACTTCACAATGAGGAACAAACCTATAACATTTCAAAATATTCCATGGGAGGGAATGGAGCCTAGCTCAGGAGCAGTCTGCTGGGAGGGCTGCCCCAGACCTGCGTACTCTCAGAATCCTGGACTCCCTGCTCCAGGGGGAATCTGCATGGTACGGTGCCAAGAACCTGGGCCACTGAGGAGTGGTGAGCCAGGACTTCCAGGCTGTCACCTCCCTGTTTTCCAACCAGGCAGGATACCTGTGGATCCAGGACTCTGAAAGGCTGGCCTGTACAGGTGCCAAGTGCTAGGTTGCTACACCACTTTCTGAAATTAGGCCTGGCTGCCCCTTTGACTGTACAGAAGGGTGGCCAAATCAAATTTCAATGGCATTGCACCCATGCCACCAGAACAGCTGTACTAATTTACTACAGGGCCATTGCTTAAAAGTAGTCGGGCCATGCCCCTTCCCCAACGACCCTGTGGACTATGCAACATTGAGCAAGTGCAAAAACTTATTTGGGGGGGTCACCCTCCCCATTCCCCCCAATTGGCACCACTGGCCCAAATCCCACATTTAGACCTCACTGAGATTCATAAATCTCCTGCTCAGCACCTACATTTTTGTAGCAAAAGTTCCCTTAGTGCATATGTTTCTGCCTCTGGGCATGTGCACAGCTACCTCACTCTGGGTATCAGATGCCTATGCTCCAGAGTGATGCAAAACCCAGCAGAAGACAGGTGTTCCTCTGCTTATCTCACTTGCAGAGGAAAATCCAGCTGGTGCACTCTGAGCTTGCTGAACACCACACAAAATATCCCCTAGGGGTAGGAACTCAACTGCTTCCCTCCTCACTTTTAGTCCAGTGGTTCAGGGAGTCACCTGGGATGTGAGAGAGCCCTTTTTTAAGTACCTGCTCTGCCTGAGGGAGAAGGGATTTGCACAGGGCTCTGCTACCTCTTACACGAGTGTCCTAACCATTATAGCACGGGCTGATCTAGGGAATCCTCAATCTCACCAGTTGAAGCTGTTTCACTTTGGATAAATAAAGCAGGTGAGGGGGAAGTAGAGTGAGAAAGAATAACTCTATAGCCCGGTGGCTTGAAAATGTACCTCTTGCTTCCCTGACAAATTATTCATCTAGAGTGGAACCACTTCAGGCAGGGACGCCCTGCCTCATAATGCCCCATAGCTCAGTAGTTAAGGCACTCACCTGAGAGATGCAGATCCCTTCTTCTCCTCTGGCAGATGGGGTAGTCCTATATCTGTGGTGAGTACCCTAGCTGTGGGGCCAACAAGTATGAGTGAGGCTCAACTCCTCCCCACCCCAACAGCTAGCATGAAATGCCTTAGGTGGTGTACTCCAGGTGAGGGCTCACAGCTGACAATCTTAAGCCGAGGTGGGCACCGAACTCCTCGGCTTAAGGGGGGCAGTGTTTCAGACATGTCCTCCCATTGGCTATCTTAATGGGCTGGCTTTTGTGGATCCCATTCTGAGGCTTCTCGCTCTTCCCATTCAGGCTTTGTGAATCCCACTGATTTGTCAGGTGCCTAAAATTGAGGTGTGGTGATGCTCAGCCTCACGATGACTATGTCTCTTTGTCAGTCTAGCTCCAGGAGCCTCAAGGCCCAGCTCATTCAGCACCATGTTGAGGAGGTGGGTTGGCAAGCTGGCAGGAAGCCAGGAAGTTCTGAAAGTTGCCGGCTTTCCCCACATGTGTTAATTTTGACAACAGTGGCAAACTTCAGCAAAACATATCTCTCATCAGAATTTTAACAACCAGCTCTAGCAGTTTCCCATGAGCTGTGGTTGCCATTGCTTGCTCATTATGACTTGCACTCCTGTATCGTTGGGTTAATAACAATGCAAGAGCTACCATGATAGATAACAGAGTGGACCAACCGCTACTCAGCATGATATATACTGTGACTGAGCATCTACTCGGTGCTAAGGGGAACATTGCACAAGTTCACCCTGACTTCTGTTAACCACAACTTTGTAACCGCACTGTCCCCAGCCAGCAGACACTGATGAATCTGAGAGTCTGCTTTTCCAACGGCATCTCTTGAAAAGCATCTTAACAACAACAACTGTTTCCATCTTTGGTTATAACTAACTGTATCGGAAGGGCAGGTTGGGGAACCTGAGCCATCATCACATTTGGTTGTAGCAGGAGAGAAACGTTATTACTAGGGTTTGCCTTTTGTTTTGTTTTTTTAAATCTGAACCTGACACAAAAACAACCATATTCCCTCTCTTCTTATTTATATTTGAAACGGGGAACCTCTGAACCACTAAGCTCCATGTTAGCTTATTTTCTTTTACATTTCCAGGCTGAGATTCTGTAGGATTTGGGCTCCTAACTCCCTTAGACTCCTTTGCAATTCCCACTCGATATCCCAATGGGGCTATACTAAATGTTCCTTTTCTCTGAAACAGATACAGAAAGAAGAAAACAGCTATTGGAGGTTGACTTGATCCTCCCATCTGGGCGCTCCCTGAAGAGTCCATTTGCCACTGAAGGAAGAATTCCACATCACCAGGGGAAATATGGCAGAAGCTATGGAGAGGTCTCAATTCAAAAAGGTAATTTATTTGTCGTACAGAAACTTATTTTGTTCATCCCATAGTAGATTTCTTTCAGTTTAACAAAGCTCATCACAATTTTTGGATTTGTTTTGACCCAATTTCTCAGAACTTCCAGTGAGACAAAAAATAAGACATTCACCCAACTCTACTTCTGACTTTGGCTGAGGTTTCTAGGTACAGCGACCATACACATATAAAGAGTGAATCCTGGTTAACCTCTGAGGGACCAGTGATATCTGCACCCAGACCCTACATCTCCACTCCCTGGCAGCCTTTGGAGAGATGAGGTATTTTATTGGCATTTTATTTTTGGCAGGATGATGGACGTGTCCGGCTTTCCCATGAGCTCTCAGAGGGTGAGAAAGAAGCCACTGGGAACAGAAAGGCAAAAGTCCTGGAGTGCCTCAAGAGCCTTAACAGTGCCTGTGCTGAGGTAGGGGCCCATGCTGCCCATAGTGCTAAGGAGAACAATCTAGCATATTAGCCATGTGGATGGTGATTGAGATGCCTGGTACAGTGGGAGGAAACGCCTACAAAATTCTGCCCCATGGAGATAGTTGCCTTGAAATACAACATTCCCAAAGCACAGGGGGAACCAATGGACACAGACGTACAAACCTTATGACTTTTGGCAGGGCTCAGACTTGGGGGCCTTCTGTTCTATAAGCACAAGCTCCAACCCCTTCGGCTAAAGGAGTAACACCGTTAGAATGCAATAAGGGACTTGCTGGGGCTAACTTTTAGAGGGCTCCATGCTCACGTGAATTCAGTCAGTGCTTACTATATCCCTTTTGTAATGTGTGTGTATATACTGCTGTGATTTTGAAGCCAGACAAAGCCTGCAGCAGAGAACAGAGGGGAAGGGGGCATTAGAGCCGTCACTATAGTGCACAGATTGCATTAAAGCAGTGGTTCTCAACCCCCAACCCACATAATACATAGAGAGCTGCATATGTGGCCCACAATGGTAAATAGGTTGAGAAACAATGCCTTAGAGGGATAGAGAATTGAGTGAGCTATTAATACTTGTCTGATTTAGTATTAATACCAGTAATGAATAGTGACTGTGTAACATACTTTCTACATGTATCACAGCCCCATCTGCTGAATGAACCGCACAGAGGGTAAAAGCCAACTACTGCTGCCCACCCCTTGTGGTTACTCTGTTAACTGGCATGGTGGAGACATGTGAGGAATTTCCCAGGATTGTTACCCATCATTGAAAAGTGATGGTCCTTGGAACAATGCAAACTCCCAGGGGTCTGACATATTTGGGAACATGTGCCCTCTGAGGGCTTTGCAAATGTCAGCCTAAGAGTCTTCCACTGCTTCCTCCTCACAATATTCTTCCTTCAGCACTAGGCAGAGTGACCTGGGTTTTTTGGTGCTCAAGGTTCAGTCTCCACTGGTGACTCACTTGTCACTAATCTTGTTAGTGCATTAGTACTACAGCGGGCTGACTTTTTGCATTCAACACATTTTAATGAAAAATTGCTATTTTGTGAACACAGAAATATCCATTTTTAACAAAAATATTCAAAAGTTTTTGAAATAAAGAGCACCTAAAAATTTATTGGGGAGTAGACAGGTGATGGGGTGATCATTTTGTGGGTTTTCATGTTTTGGACAGACCCCACCCCTTAAATTTTTGATGAACAATTTGGTTCCTCCAAAAAAAAAGCAAATTTGTGTAGGAATAAAAATCATTTCTTGAGCAGCTACATTTCATATGTTATTTTTTTGGACACAAAGAATAGTCCTTCTACATTACACACATTTATTCAAACAAACAAACTCAATCCCGTGAATCATGGAGAGTAAGGGGCGTGAACATAGAGCACAGTAAAGAGCACTAGTAAGTTTGAGCCCTATTTCAAGTCCAATGGAAATCAAAGGTGCTTTTGAAATGCCCTCTAGGCCCTTACCTGCGTCCCTTTGAAAATTCTGGTCCTGGTCTGTATGTTGGTGCATAGGATTTTAAGCACAAAAGCCCAGAGTTGCAAAGAGCCCTAAGGGATTACTGTGCTGGCACTGTGTGATTATGGCTGAAAATGCAGATAAAGTGTATTTGCTCTTGACTCAGGATGGGACACAGGTCATTGGGCACCCGATAAGGATGCTTCCTAACATCAGATAAACAAGTCTTGGAACTTGAGGCTTTCTCTGTGAACTTCTTGAATGGATCTGTACCAAGAGCTGCATATCAGAGATCACTCAGCATTCCTAGTTCATTTGTCATTCCCTCTTTTCTCTCCCCCAGGATAACATGCCCAATATCGCCGTGCTAGGATCAGGCGGAGGTCTGCGGGCCATGATAGCCCTTCTGGGAACCTTGGTGGAGATGAAGAAGCAGGGCCTGTTGGATGCTATCATGTATCTGTGTGGGGTATCGGGTTCCACCTGGTAGGTGCATGTCAGTAGAAGGGAGAATGTACCAATTTTTCCCAGCTCGTGGTCACTGGGGCATTCTTATTATCAATTAGCTCTGTACATTTTCAAGGCATTATGAGTAAGATTTTCAGAAGCACCTAGGTGTATGCCTACCCTGCAATCAGAGGGCATGATGTAGCATGCATAGACATACCTGAGCTAGCTTTAACCTTATTACTTTGGGAACCAATAGCAGTGAAACTCTGGAGCTACAACATGGGCTGTACCAGTCTCTTTTGGACTCTGAGTATGTACACATGCAGCTCACCCACAGTGACATCCATGCTGCTGCAGCTTCGCTGCAATTGGCACTTGAGCTAGCTTGATCAAAGCTAGCATATGTCTGAATACACATGCTGCTGTCACACCTCTGAGTGCAGCGCAGACACACCATAAATGACTCACCCTTTGACTTGCAATGAGATTTGTGCTCCTAAGTCACTTTTGGAAATCCCACCTTTAAGTAGACAGGAAATGGGTGCAAAATGAAAGAGAGGTGAAGCGACACATGCAAGGTCACACAGCAGATCAGTGGCCAAGCTGGGGCTAGAACGCAGGTGTTTTGAGCCTTAACCCAGTGCCTGCTCACTGGGAATCTGCCTCCTGGCCAGGCATGGAGATCTGATCTTGGGGACCCAAGCGCTGGATGACATGGTTAGAAGATGCAGGGACATTCTGGGCAGACTCAAGAGCTGGAGAAGTGAGGCTCAGTGAAGACTAGAGAAGCGATGTTTACAGCAACCAAGGTGACAGAGGATAGGCTTCCAGCAGTGGGAACAGTGAGAAAAGGGCAATCTATGGGAGCTGTTAAGGGTTTGGGGTTCATTGGAGTTTACCAAGAGATGGAGAGTACACAGAGGGAAGGACAGAGAAGAGTCAAATGGGACCCCAGTATTGGGGCTTGGGAGGAAGGAAGAAGAGTGGAGTTGTCCATGGAGGACGAGATGGGAAAGAAAAATCTTCTGACACTTCTAGCTGATCAACCAGGGCCAGAATCAGTTTCTGTGCCTGCTGGGTAGCACCTTGTTCTGAGAGTCACCCCATCGGGGTGAGTGAGAGGGGCAGAAAATGAGACAGGTGAGTGAAGGTGGCCTAGTGAAATGGGCAGAGTGTGTGTGTGTGTGTGACCATTGTCCTCTACTGGGTGAGATCTTAATTGCTTCTCCCCATGTCATACACCCTGTACTGCCATGTAGTTTCCCCATTGGCTCAAGAAGGGCCCTGGGGTCTCGTCATACTTACAATGGCCGGATTAGTGTGCTCACCACTGCTCTCTGTTGGGTGGAATCAGAATTACTTAGCATGCATCATAGGTCCTAGAGAAGCAGATAATGGAGTTTCTCCATAGCTCAGAGCGGCAGGGGCTTTGGCTTTCAGCAGACGATCTTCGCTCTATCCCTGTTATTGCCATAAATTTCCCAGTGGACATGGTGACAGAGAGCCATGGATGAAGTCCTTGTTAAGTCACAGATTTGTTACAATGCCAGGATGATAATTAGAATCCCATGCATGAAAAATAAAGGGTATGAAGATTAAAAGGGGGAGGGGGAACTCCCCATCCTAGTTCCTCAGTCTCAGACATATCTGTTCTGGTTCATTGAAAGGTGCATGTCTTTCCTCTACCAAGAGAATGACTGGACAGAGAAAGTGCAGGTCTTGGAAGAACGCCTGTGTAATACACTTTCCAAACCTCCATGTGATATTCAAGAGGAATTTACTATTGCGACACAGGCGGCTGAAGATGAACTCTTCTCTCTGACTGATGTCTGGGCCTCTTTCTTTGTCTATCCTACATTGAAGCTGGTGGGTCGCTGTGTAAATCCAGAGTGGTTCCACTGAAAAATCACTGGATTTACTTAATATATTCCTTTGGTTTTGTTTCTCTCTCACGCGCTTTCTCGCTCTCTCCGAGTACTTGGGATTCAGGAGCAAAAGCGTGGAAGCATATTAACTCCTGCTAATATTTTAAAGAATGAGAAGTACTTGTGGCACCTTAGAGACTAACAAATATATTTGGGCATAAGCTTTTGTGGGCTAAAACCCACTTCATCGGATGCATGCAGTGGAAAATACAGTAGGAAGATATATATACACAGAGAACATGAAAAAATGGGTGTTGCCATACCAACTATAATGAGACTAATCAATTAAGGTGTGATATTATCAGCAGGATAAAAAAACTTTTGTAGTGATAATCAGGATGGCCCATTTCCAACTGTTGACAAGAAGGTGTGAGTAACAGTAGGGGAAAAATTAGCATAGGGAAATAGTTTTTACTTTGTGTAATGACCCATCCTCTCCCAGCCTTTATTCAAGCCTAATTTAATGGTGTCCAGTTTGCAAATTAATTCCAATTCTGCAGTTATTCAGATTATCAGAGTCAGAAGAATACCCAGAAGTCACCTACTCCAGGACAGACCCAGCAAAGAAAGTAACAGAACGCCACTGGCTGTCACCTTCAGCCCCCAACTAAAACCTCTCCAGCACATCATCAAGGATCTGCAACCTAATCTGAAGGATGATCCCTCACACTCACAGATCTTGGGAGACAGGCCAGTCCTCATTTAGAGACAGCCCCCGAACCTGAAGCAAATACTCACCAGCAATGACACACCACACAACAAAAACACTAACCCAGGAACCTATCCTTGCAACAAGGCCCGATGCCAACTCTGTCCACATATTCAAGGGATACCATCATAGGACCTAATCACATCAGCCACAACATCCGGGGCTTGTTCACCTGCACATGTACCAATGTGATATATGCCATCATGTGCCAGCAATGCCCCTCTGCCATGTACACTGGCCAAACTGGATAGTCTCTACGCAAAAGAATAAATGGACACAAACCAGGCGTCAAGAATTATAACATTCAAAAATCAGTCGGAGAACACTTCAACCTCCCTGGTCACTCAATTACAGTCCTAAAAGTTGCAATTCTCCAACAAAAAAAACTTCAAAAAAAGACTCCAATGAGAAACTGCAGAATTATAACGTTTGTTCATGTTCTTTGTGTATATATATTTTCCTACTGTATTTTCCACTGAATGCATCTGATGAATTGGGTTTTAGCCCACAAAAGCTTATGCCCAAATAAATGTATTAGCCTCTAAAGTGCCACAAGTACTCCTCATTCTTTTTGCTGATACAGACTAACACGGCTACACCTCTGAAATATTTTAAAGCTATCTAAGCCCTATGGCAACTTTTTAAATCTCAGCCTCTTACCATGAGCTTTCAAAGATCACTGCAGTATCTGAACATTTCCAAAGTGAGGACTTCCAGGCTGTTTAAGGGATTTGGATACCCCTTTTCTCTTAAAACAAATCCCTTAGGTTGTTTTGAAAATCTCAACCTAGCATCTGATCCCAAAATCCTCCACTCTCCAGAATATGAATTGATAACAGGGAACTCAAAGGTATGAAAGTCTCAATCACGGTCTTGAATTTTTAATAATGGGCTCTTCAATCTAGCAGAGAAAAGGTCTAACGTGATTCAATGGCTGGAAGTTGAAGTTAGAGAAATTCAGACTGGAAAGAAGGTGTATTCTTGTGTATTTTTGACAGTGGGAGTAATTAACTATTGATACAACTCATCAAGGGTTGCGGTAGATTCTTCATTGTTGATAATTTTTAAATAAGTATTGGATGATTCTCTAAAATATTATTCAATCCAAAACTATTTTTGGTAGGTTTCAGGTCATTTTTAAGGTTTTTTTGTTTGTTAGTTTTTGTTTTTTGTTTTTTACTTTTTTTTTAATTTAGCTAAATTTTTCAAACGAAATACCATTGCAAAACAAAAAAAGTTGAAATGTTTCATTTCAAAGTAGCTGAAATAAACAATTTAAACTTTTTCACAATTTTTTTCTCAGATGAAAGAATTCACCAAATTTGACCTGAATTCACAAATAATTTCAGTGCTCTAAAAAATTAATTTTTCATTGAATTTACTAGTCACTAATTTTTATTTTATTTTATTTTTTGCCTGGCTTTGCTGCTCCCTAATTGCTATTAATTTTGATGGAACTGAGGTTCTGTCTCCACTGGAGCTGGAAGTGTAATTCCCAGCTCAAGGAGACACTCCCACGTGAGTTCTGATGGAGACCCTAGGTATCAACCCAGTGGGGTTAGCCCCTCCCTCTGCTCCTGCTGCTGCAGCTACACTGATATTCTTACCGTGCTAATGTGCCTATGTCTCCTCAGCTGGTAATCTGACCTTCCTTCTCCAGGATAGATATCTTGCTTAGGTGCTTTTGAAAAGCCCTTTATGTGCCGATCTGCCTCTTTAGGTGCCTAAATATTGTTGGAAATCTGTGCCTAATTCCTTTGGGCCCATTTGAAAGTCTCCACCGTGGACTGTAAATACTCTGTTGTTTGTCCATACAGTGCACACTAGAATGAGGGAACAATGACAAAGGTGATGATGGTCTCAACAAAAAGGGTCTTTGTAATTTCTAGTCTGAACTAATTAGTCCGGGACGAATTGCTGGGAATATCACCAAAACGTGTGTCTTTCTGTGCCAATCAATTCTTACCTTTCCAGTATGATGAGACCAAATTATCTGAACATGACGATTCCTCCAAAAATGGGAAAAATCCTTACCCCATCTATGCGGCAATAGAAGCAAACCAATTGGGTAAAGCAGGTGAAAACAGCCCAGGTAAAAAAAAAATGTGTTTTTTATTTTTATTTTTTTACATAAACCTGTCAACTCTCTCTCTCTCTCTCTCTCTTATTTTCAATTGATTTTTTTTATCAATGACTTTACCAAAATGGTTATTGATGTTCTTCATTTTCCAAAAAAACCCCAGGTTTGTCAATAAATGAAAAAATCCCAAAATTGTTTCAGTAGTCACTTTGAAAACGTTTTCAATACAAATGTCTATCAAATAAGTTGTGATAGATTGCTCAATGAATTTTAAAAAAAGCTCAGTTTTGAAAATGAAAAGAACTTGGAAAAATTCAGAAAATGTTATGAAATTGTTTGCCTTTTCGATTAGCTCTACAGTTAAATTTATTACTTTTAGATTTGACTAATTTTTTCTTTATACCTTTGGTCCGAGTTAGGGATGGGTGGTTGGAGGGTGGGTGGAGAGGGGCTATGTTTACCACAAAAGGAATTCTGGGATATCCAAGGACAGCACCTGCTGATTTAGGAGGGAAACACCAGATAGAGGAGGTCACTATAGAAAATGGCATGAAAATGACCGTGGGTGAAGGAACAGATTGAAAAATTAGGTGGGATTCACTGGTGGAGCAAACAAATTGAGGGGGTGGGGACTGAGAAATTATTGCTATCAGCCAAGAAAGAGACAACAAGAAACTGGCACTTGAAAGGCCCCTTTTTACAAACCTTATCTATATTTCACAGGGACATGGTTTGAATTCACCCCCCATGAATCTGGCTTTCCCGGCCTGGGGGCATTTGTGTGCACCGAAGACTTGGGAAAGAACATCAAGGATGGGAATTCGCAAAAGAGGGATGAGAAAAATATCTGCTACCTGCAAGGTAAGCTTTGAAGCCCCTTATTCTTAGCCGATCAATAGATATGTATATAACCCAGGTGGAGTTGGCAGCAGCAAGGGCTGGGGTCAATATCCAGGGGTCCCTCTTAACAATATAACACAGAAACCAGCTCAAGCCCCACCCAGCAATCTGGGAAAATTACAAACCACCCCTGGGTGCTTCTAGGAGGCAAAACTTCCCCTCCCGCTGGCACTGAGCCTGTATATAGCAGAGAAAACTTTCAGTAAAAGGGGAAAGGAGCTCGGCATTAATTTGGGAAAACACCACCACCATGATTTGAACACATCTGACCATGAGCAAAACTCCCACTCCAGAGTAAGTTGGGCAGTGTCCTGAGCCTCCATTTCTCACCTTGCCATACGAAAGTCCAACAAACAGCTGTCCCATTAACACACCACTGCCCTCTCCCTCCACCGCACCCTGCTCACAGCTGCTGTCCTTGGTCCCTGGAGACCCAGAGTTCAGAGGTGTGTTCACATGAGCTCACCTCCCAGCTGGGGAGAGAGCAGGGTGGGAAATGTAGAGCAATGACTCGACTGCTGCTGTCACTACTACTGGCTCACAGTTGCTACCCTTCACTCTGTGCCGCTGCTGTCGTTCATCATGCCACAGTTCACTGCACTGCACTATCCTCTGCTCTGTTGCCGATGGCCCTGTGTCCTCACCTTCTGCTGCCCTCTGCCTCCCCACTGTGACCTCTGCGAGTCGGTCTCTGGGGTTCCACCCAGCTCTCAGTGATTTCAGCAACAAGTGGGGGAACCTCCCTGCTAGTGCAGACTGGGCAGTCTCTTCCCCCAAACACTGTCCCACAGCAGCTCTAAGGCTGAGTACTTAGACCTTATCAGTGATTTAGCTCTAGTGATCACTTACCAAAACAAAACATTCTCAACTGAGGCTAGGTCTACACTACCCGCCTGAAACGGCGGGTAGAAATCGATCTCTCGGGGATCGAATTATCGCATCTCGTCAGGACGCGACAATCGATCCCCGAATCGACGCGCTTACTCCACCAGCAGAGGAAGGAGTAAGCGCCATCGACGGGGAGCCACGGAGGTCGATTTTGCCGCCGTCCTCACAGCGGGGTAAGTCGGCTCCGATACGTTGAATTCAGCTACGCTATTCGTGTAGCTGAATTTGCATATCTTAAATCGACCCCCCACGTAGTGAAGACCTGCCCTATGTCTAATCAGTTCTACATTTAAACAGGGGAGAGGGGCAGGTCAAATGTTGCCTATGACTCTTAGACAGAGCCCACCCCACTAGGCAGAAACACCTGTCCCCCTCCCCCACTCTCTTCCCACAGGGATCTGGCATTGGAACCCCCTGCTTAGCGAGTGCAGTTCAGTTCATTTGGACTTGACCCCCTCAATAAGGGCAGGCTAAGCACAGTTCTGCTGCCCTTTACTCATACAATCATGATAACAACATGACCCTTGCATTCAATACTGAAGTGATTTGGAATCCAATACCAGACAAAATTGGTCACTTGGGCAGGATATCTTGGCAGATTAGGTGTGTTCATGTAAATATAGTCTGGTCTTGGAGCCTTTTCCCCCCAGCTTATCACTAGCTGTCAGGGGAGAGCTCATTCAGACCTTGCTGATAGATAGATAGATAGATAGATAGATAGATAGATAGATAGATAGATAGATAGATAGATATTGCAGGTCCACCCTGTTATTCTAATGCAGCATATTATAGACCTGCTTGGAATGTTTCCAGCAACTCAACCCTGTAGGTCTCATCCCAGTCTCAGAGCTCTCTTCCCAGCTGCTTGTATCTACCCAGCTTTTCTTCCCCCCACAAATCTTCCTTCTATACCCTCACCCTTATTTCCACCTCACTCATGACACTCGCTCACATATAACCCCTTTTGCTCACCCTTAGCCACCATCTCATCCTTTCTTCAACCCAATTAGCTCCTCCTGAAACATGGTTAGCTTTTGTATAGATAACGCATCTTATCCACAGATCTAAACACGCTTTTCAATAGTTTAGTGAGCATCAACATACCCATTTTACAGAGAAGGAGACTGAGTCATCGAGGGAGGAAATGGCTTTTCTAAGGTCATAAAGGTTGGGAAAGGGAGGTAAAGGAATAGAAGTCAGGTCTCCTATGTATAAGCTACTGCCCTGTCACTAGAGCTGGGATTTTCTAAGATGCCTAGGAAAATTAAGAAGCCCAACTTGCATTGAATTCCAGAGGGATTTGGACACCTAACTCCCACAGTCTCCTTTGAAAATCCGAGTAAGGAACATTCACATTCCTATTAGTTAATATCCAGTGTTTGCATGTCTTGGGCTTTTATATTTATTTATTTATTTGGATTGGGAATTTCCAAAGTGTTTAAAAGGGTTTGGCAATTGTGTTGGGGGGGAGGGTGGATTTTCAAAGGGAAAAAGAATAGTTATGTACCCAACTCCCAGGCAAATTCCATGGGCTTTGAATTTGTGATTTGCTGAAAGGACGTAAGTGCTTTAGGAGCATAAGGATCATTTGAAGTGATGTGTGATGTGTGCTCCTAAGTCACTTAGATACTTTTTAAAATCCCATCCCTTATTCCCTTTGAAAATTCCAGCTTCATTCATTCATTCATTGAATCATTCATTTGTACTATACCAATCAAACACAGCCCATCCTAGGCTCTGGGGACCTTTGACAGTACTTCAAAATGCATCTCCTAATGTAAGACAAATCCAGCAATTAATTATCCTTAGAAAACAAACAAACAAACATTCTAACTCTAAGGGTAGTTAAGCTCTGGAACAGGTTTCCAAGGGAGTTTGTGGAGCACCTGTCACTGGAGGTTTTAAAGAAGTTAGACAAACATCTGTTAGGGAAAGTCCAGGTTTACTTGGTCATGCCTCAGTGAGAGAGGATGGACTAGATGACAGCTCAAGGTTCCTTCCAGCCCTACATTTCTATGATCCTGAAATAACAGTAAGCCTAGCAGGATTTAACACACCCACTGTCAAGACCACCACTGCTTCCTGAGGCTGCCCTGGTCTCACCTACCTCTCAACTCACTACTGGGCAGGAATGTTCCAAAAGTTTCAAATGCTCTGGGCAGGGAATGTCTTTCTGTCTTGTGTCTGTACAGTGCCTAGCACAATAGGGTCCTGCTTCATGGCTGGGTCACCTAGGCATTGTGATACTACAAATACCAATACTCATAATTAGGATTGGTCAAATTTTGGTATTACCATTCCGCAGGAAATTTTAACATTAGTTTGTATTCCGAATCAGGACTAAAACACATAGTTTCAACCTTTCCCACAAAATGATTTCCATTTCAGGTCAATCGAAATGTAAAAAAATCAAAAGGTTTCCTCCCTATTTCTACTCTTTAAATGTTGTCTGTTATAGTTTCATTTACATTGTATTATACAATCCAATCAATTTGGAAATGAAAGGTTATTTCAAAATGAAAAATTGAAATGTTCTGTTCTGATAAGGTCAACCTACTTCATTTCATATTTATTTTTAAAATGAAATGTTGTTAAAAATCAACAAATTCCCATGGAAAGTTCAAATTTTGACAAAAGAGTATTTGCTGATGCAAAGAATATTACATTTGAAATCTTTGACCACCTCTACTCACAATAAACTTTTTTCAGTTATGGATCAATGTGTGAACAAAGTTGCAAAAACACATAAGCTATGAGAGACTGGCCTGCGAGTCCCCCCCTTGACTTTTCTGTTAATGGGGATCCTATCCAGGCAACTCCTTACGTTATATTAAAGGGAAAGTCCTTGATGCTTTCTTAGCTGCACTATGGTAAATAAGGTCTTTTTCTTCTTGTTTTCAGGCTTATGGGGAAGCGCCCTTGGAAGCATGGCTGCAAACAAGAAATATTTAATAGGTACTGACATTTCTGTGTGTTGAAGGTACGGTCGGGTCATCGGTGGAATCGGAACACGTCCCCAGTGGAGGCACCGCCGCACCATTCTGTAGCAATGATTCCAATGCCCAACTCTTTATCACAGTGATACTGTCATGCGTCAAACAGTCACTGAATTAGCAGTAGCCGAAAGTAGCCCATGGGTGTCTGCCAGTTGTGGATGGGCTGGATTTTCAAGAATGCCAAAGGGAAACTGAGCACCCACCTCTCATTTTTGCCTTTCATAATCTCCAGAATTCCAGATATCTTCCAGATTATTATATCTAGGGCTGAGATTTTCTTAACTGATGAGGAGATTTGGATCCTAATTTCCATTAATGTTGATAAGAGATGGGCATAATCTAATCTCATGCTTCAGAGCTTCAGCCAGTCACTGGCAGCAATCAGGAAGGATTTTCTTCCTTTATGCACAATTGTAATCGGTTTTATTTATTTATTTTCCCACCGCTAAAGATGGGATACAGCTGGGGTAGGTCAATGCTCTGATGTGGTACTGAGAATCCTCTTTTTAGATGCCTGGTTGGTGAGTCATGTCCAGAGTCCAATTGATCAGCAGATTTGGGGTCAGGAAAGAATTTCCCCCCAGGTTACACTGGCAGGAACCATGGGGTTTTCTTAACATTTCTCCACAACATGGGGTGCGGGTCGCCTGCTGAGATTATATGAGCATGTCTCACCTAATCATTTCCTGCCATTGCCAGAACCTCTGCCTCAGGTGCCCCTCAGTCTTTCCTGTTCTCTACCTGTGGCACACAACAGCTCAGTCTCCTGAGCAGTGCCTTACTTTAACTGAAATTTCTATGTGAAATTTCATGGCCTCTTGATCTCAAACTATATGAATCCATTAAATTATGAAATTTAACTCCTTTAGGCATCTTTGAAACTCTCAGTTTAGATAAAATCCTGATTTCAAACTTCAATCTGATTTTGCAAAGATTTAGCTTTGGGGCAAATACTGCCAGTGAAATCAGTGGAGTTACTTCTGAATAGAGCCACATCAAACTTTTTGACTAAACAGTTTTCCACCAGAAAATCATAATCAAAACGTTTTGTGGGAATGTGTCAATTCCGATATAATTTTTGATGGAAAATATTCAAAATGCTTCAAAAACCAAAATAGAATATTTTGTTCTGACTTAATCATTTTATTCAACTTCATCTTTTCATTTGGTTTCAACTTGTATTTATTTTTTAGCTAGGTAGCTAAAAATTTCACATATTACCTTATATTTTATATTATATATTTATATAATTTTCTATTACCTTATAATGCTTCACTGTTGTTGAAAGAAAACATTTTAGTAAGGTCATTTTGATAATTCTGAATTGAAATATTTCACAATTTCAGTTCTCCAAGATATTTTGATATTTTGACTTTTCTGAACCAATTTGAGATGAAAACAAATCCCACAGGTTAGAAATTCTGTTTTCTTACCCACTCTCCTTCTGAGTTACACCAGTTCAAATTATATCAAAATCAGCTTTACATTTCATAACCCAAATGTGATTTCCTATGGTTAGCATCCTTAGCTGTGAGAAAAGACTTATAACATGTGTTCTGTTTTCCATTGCTGAGACTGTCTTAAGGAAAAATTCCGAAAACTAAGAGAACATCGGTATGCAGTAGGTGAAGCAGGTGGGTCATTGTATTTCTGGAATCATGGACTGTTTTTTTTTTAAAACTCACACTGAGTTTATCTTGAGATGACTCCAATGACATGAAGAAAGCTAGTTCTGATCTGCACCACTCTGAGAGGCTACATCTGCACTACAGCCCCCTCCCCTCCGCCCCCGACCCCGCCGCAGTGTGGACACAGCATACACTGACAGAAGGAGTTTTTCTGCCAGTATATGATGAATAGATCCCCCATCAACATTAGCTACGTTGACAGAAGCACTCTTCCATCTTCATAGCTGTATCTACACTGAAAGTTTTTTTGGGCGGGGGGGAGGAGTGGAGTTGGCATAGCGATGTGTGTGTTTTTTTCACTCCCGTGACCAACACAGGGATGCCTTATAAGCATAGATTGAGTCAGAGGGAAATCAAGCCATTTCCATTAATGACATATGTGATTTTCATGGGTATCATTCCCCCTTTGTAATGAATGTTAATACTCATAGTCTCTGTTTGACAAATGCTTGCCCAGAATGAAATCACCTTGAAAGCTCATATGTGACTCTCTCTACATGGGAAATTTTACACGTTATCCAGCTATAGGTATACCAGAATAACCCTCATGTGGACACTCTTGTTCTGGTGTAAGTGTGGTTTTCTCACATTAGCTTCAACCACTTCCAGTGAGATATACATTAAACCAAGAAAAGACAGAAATAACTATCTACAAGAAAGTCATAGACTACAAGGCCAGAAGGGACCATTGAAACCCAGTAGTCCGACCTCCAGTATAACAAAGGCAAAATAACTTCCCTAAAATAATTACTAGAGCAGTTATTTTTAGAAAAAAAATCATCCAATCTTGATTTAAAAATTGCCAGAGATGGAGAATCCACCGTGGCCCTTGGTAAGTTTTTCCCGTGGTTACTTACTCTCATTGTTAAAAAAATATATATGTATTCCTTATTTCCAATGTGAATTTGTCTAGCTTCTATGTCCAGCCATTGGATCTTGTTACACTGTTATAAATATCTATAAGTAACTACATGGGGAGCAAATCCCAGATGATTCCATAAGTTCTCTTATGGCCTGTATTATACAGGAGATCAGAATGATCCTTCTGGCCTGAGAAGCTATGAATAGTAATGAAAGAGACCTGCTCTCCTTCAGATACTACCTCACACACCTAGTCTCTTTCGTATCCTGGGGCCAATGTGGATATAACAATACTGCCAACAACAATGAAGTTTAATGAAAATTTATTTATTTATTTATTAAATCACACTAGGCACCTCTTTTCAAATTTAGGCATATCAATACCTTAAAAATCCTGGCCAAGTGACCAGTTCCCATTGGTGCCTTTGAAAGTCTTCACCTTAAGTCATTTGGCTGTGATTTTCAAAGAAGACCAAGAGAGTTAGGTGCCCAAATGCCACTGACCTCCATGGGTACCTAGCTCCCTTAGTATTTGTTCTAAATTTCAGCCTACTATCCAGATTTTTAAAGATATTTAGGCACCAAATGGGATTTTCAAAAGCATCTAGGTGATTATCTTCCATTGAAATCAATGCTTTTGAGGCAACTAGGTACTTCTGAAAATATCACTAGGTGCCTAAATACCTCTAAAAATCTGGCCCTAACTGACTACCCCAAGGCCAGACAGGGAATCAGTGGGGAGCCAGGAAAAGAGCCCAAATGTTTTTCTGATGTCCCTGTGGTGGGAGGTTTGCAAGCAGAAGGCATTTCAAAGGTGTCCCTGTGAAGTCCAGCTGGTTAAATCTTCTGCAGAAGGAAAATTCTGACATTTCAAAATTTAATCAGAATAAAACCAAATTATTTCAAAATGTTTGGAAAAAATATTTTCAGGTCAATCAAAGCTTTCCCCTTTTGATAAAGTGGACACAATTTGTTCTGATTTAGACTTTTTAAAAATGTGACCTTATATCCTATATCAAATAAATATTGGGGGTTAAAATTGAAACACTCCATTCTGATAAGGTACATTTCAACCTATCAAAACACTTTGTTTCATTATCTTTTCACCAAAAAGAAATGTCATCAAAAGCAATGTGTTCCAAATTTCAATCAAAATAGATAGATTCCAGTTTGTCAAATTCAACATGTTCCCATGGAAATTTTAAATTTTGACTAAATGGCCATTTCTGATGCAGAATGTTCTGTTAGGAAATTTGTAACCAGGTCTACTGTGAAGTCATGAAGTACAGGCTTCCTTCCCAGCCCTCATGACCAGATCTAATCCCAAAATTCAATTTATTAACTTCTACCCTGCAAACCGCTTGCTGTATCCAATGGAAGACATTTCCTTAGATGCACCAAGTGTCCAGAACAGGTGTCCATTGATCCACAGGGGGCTTTGGGTGTCTCCTTAGCATGCCCCAGTCCCAAGCAGTTATACTCTAAAGTAGAGAGCACTGGAACATGAATGGGAATAACCATTCACTAGCGAGATTCAGCAACAGCAGGATTGGCAGTGACTTCTTATGGGCTCCATCCACCATTGCAACCCAACTCCACATGGAGTTTCTGAAACTGGGATCCTGAAACTCTTCTAGGAGTTGGCCAGAGTGGAGTTATGGGCGAGGAAGAGAAATTTAAACTTGATGCAAGGGAGAGCTAAGGGAGTTCAAACAGGGTGCTGAAGTAATCTGGTGGACAGGTGAGGATGCCTGAATTTTTGATGGGCTGGAGGGTGTGTGAGGTGGTAGTCAGAGAGATGGGAATTCAACAGTACTAATGGGCTGTTTGTTTGCTTCTTATAGAGATCTACAAGAACTGTTAGGTTCTATGCCTTTTCTTGGTAGGTGGACTTATCCCAGTAGGCAAAAATTGCCTCCTAAGAGTTTAGTCAGCATGAAACCCCAAACCAGCTAACACTAGAGCATGGGGGAATTTCCCCTTACCCTTCTCTGCTTGTACCTCTGGAGAATCCAATGACTGCAGGTTTGGCAGCGTGGCTGTAGTTACTTCTCCACCTCCACTGCCTGAGAGATGGAGCTGAACTTTCCTTGAGAGCTGTAGGTCCAGGACCAGGTGGGATGATGCTTAGTAGTGGTGGATGCATTTATCCCAGGGGCCCCAAATGACCTCCTCAGAGCTTAGTCGGCACCAAGCAGCTCAAACCACAAACCAGTTACCAATTTGGTTGAACAACCATTTTTCATTCAATAAATAAATAAAAAAATTGTGAGAAGCCCACATCAGCCCCAGGTAGCTCACACCATAAGCTAGGTGTCATTGGGAGGTGAGTTCTAACCATTGTCCTCCTCCTTCCACTGACATGGGGCCTGACATTCTAGGACACCAGGTACAGACAGATTCCACAGCCAGATGTCTGACCCTACACTGGCTGTTGCATCCCTGCTCCCAAGAGACTTTGGCTACTGGGGAGATGAGTCTTTCTTCTCTTCACCCCCAGGGGCTCACAGAACAAACAGCTGCCTGCTGGCCACATTATGTTCTCTTTCCTCCCAGGTACTGATTACACTAGTGCACTTCATCAGGGTGTCCTCCTCCTCCTCCAGAAGCTTCACGCTCATGCCTCAGCTGGGGAAGACTGCGAGGGAATCTTCAGGCAGCTGAAGGAAGTCCTGAAAGGCAAGTGGACCAGCAGGACTAAATTTACCACCTGTCCCCATGTCTAATCATTTAGAATGAGATTTTCAAAAGGGGCCCAAAGTCTATTTCCTTTGGTGCCTTTGGTAATGCCAGCTGTCATGAATTGCTGTGAATGAATTGTGACATGCTCATTTCCATGACAACATCCATGTATTTGCCAGTATTTTCACAAATCCCCAGAGCTGTTCCAACACACACAGGCTGAGGTTTTCAAAAGAGCCTGAGGGAATTAGGACCCCAAATCCTATTGCTTTTCAATGGACCTGGGCACCAAAACTACCTTAGCCCCCATTGAATGTCCCTGCAACCCTAAACATATCTAATGAGCCTTCCATTGCTTGTCCCAAACTTCATTTCATCCATTATTTATGCAGAAGAGAATAGCAAGAATTCCTACCTGAAGTGCTGTGACGTGAGTGAGACCCGGGATTTGAAGAGCTGGGAAGAAAGAATGGTGGAGTTCGCTGAACTCATCTGTATTTTTGAAAAGGAACTTGGAGGCAAGTTTTATAGAAACTTTTTTCAGTTAGACGGGGCTTCTCAAAGCCATCCAGCTCATTGGCTTTCCAAATTATTGCTCCAGATGTGGGAGCAAAGAACCAGATGTGCTCTAAAAGGAAGAAAATTTGTCATTTAACTATTTCCCTCCATAATTCATTATTTCAAGTGTGACATCTCTTTCTTCTACTATTTTCCCCCTCACATTAAGAGGGAAAAACAAAAATTCATGATAACCAGTATCTGGTTAAAGGTTAGGAAACAAAGACTAGTAATAAATAGTCACTTTTCACAATGGAGACGGGTAAATAGTGAGGTCCCCCAAGGATCTGTGCTGGGACCAGGGCTGTTGAACATATTCATAAATGATCTGGAGACAGGGGAAAAAAGTGTAATGGCAAAACTTGCAGATGATACAAAATTACTCAAGATAGTTAAGTCCAAATGAGACTGGGAAGAGTTACAAAGAGACCTCACAAAACTGAATGATAGGGCAAGAAAATTACAGATGAAATTCAATGTTGATAAATGCAAAGTAATGCAAATTGGAAAACATTATTCCAACTCTATATGATGGGATCTAAATTAGCTGTTACCACTCAAGAAAGAGATCTTGGAATCATTATGGATAGTTCTCTGAAATCATCCACTCAATGTGCACCGGCACTCAAAAAAAAATAACAGAGTGTTGGGAATCATTAGGAAAAGGATAGATAATAAGACATAAAATATCATATTGACTCTGCATGCAGTTCTGGTTGCCCTGTCTCAGAAAAGGTATATTAGAATTGGAAAAGGTTCAGAAAAGGGCATCAGAAATGATTAGGGGTATGGAACAGCTTCCATATGAAGAGAGATTAAAAAGAGGTAGAATGTTCCACTTGAAAAAGAGATAAATGAGGGGAGATATGACAGAGCTCTATAAAATCATAACTTGTGGGGGACAAAATGAATAGGGAAGTGTTATTTACCACTTCACATAGCACAAGAACCAGGGGTCACCCAATGAAATTAATAAGCAATTGGGTTAAAAAAAGAATTAGAACAGTTCATAGAGGCTAGGTCCATCAATGGCTATTGGGCAAGATGGTCGGAAATAGAACCCAATGATCTGGGTGTCCCTAAAGCTCTGACTACTAGAAGCTGGGACTGCATGACAGGGGATAGATCAGTCAATAAATTGTCCTTTTCTGTTCATTCCCTCTGGCCATTCATATGTTCTTATGTAAGGCCCTCAAGTACTTTGCCACCAAAATCCTATTGAAAGTCTATGGGATGTGTCTCCTAACATTGACATTCAAAAAGTTCAACCTTTATAAAAATTAACACAACTTGTCACATCACACATCAAAATATATAAAGTAAATATACTCAAATCAAACTGGGAATTCCCACAGTATTCTTGCCAGCAAGTTAAAGAAGTATGGGCTGGATGAATGGACTATAAGGTGGATAGAGAAAGCTGGCTAGGTCGTTGGGCTCAACAGGTCGTTGGGCTCAATGGCTCCATGTCTGGTTGGCAGCCGGTATCAAGCAGAGTGCCCCAAGGATCAGTCCTGGGGCCAGTTTTGTTCAATGTCTTATTAATGATCTGGAGGATAGCATGGACTGCACCTCAGCAAGTTTGCAGATGACACTAAATTGGTAGGAGTGGTAGATACGCTGGAGGGTAGGGATAGGATACACAGGGACCTAGACAAATTAGAGGATTGGGCCAAAATAAATCTGATGAGGTTCAACAAGGACAAGTGCAGAGTCCCGCACTTAGGATGGAAGAATCCCATGCATTGCTACAGACTAGGGTCCAAGTGGCTAGGCAGTAGTTCTGCAGAAAAGGACCTAGGGGTTCAGTGGATGAGAAGCTGGATATGAGTCGACAATGTGCCCTTGTTGCCAAGAAGGCTAACGGCATTTTGGACTGTATAAATAGGGGCATTGCCAGCAGATCGAGGGACGTGATCGTTCTCCTCTATTTGACATTGGTGAGGCCTCATCTGGAGTACTGTATCCAGTTCTGGGCCCCACACTACAAGAAGGATGTGGAAAAATTGGAAAGAGTCCAGCGGAGGGCAACAAAAATGATTAGGGGGCTGGAGCACATGACTTATGAGGAGAGACTGCGGGAACTGGGATAGTTTAGTCTGCAGAAGAGAAGAATGAGGAGGGATTTAATAGCTACTTTCAACTACCTGAAAGGGGGTTCCAAAGAGGATGGATCTAGCCTGTTCTCAGTGGTAGCAGTTGACAGAACAAGGAATAATGGTCCCAAGTTGCAGTGGGGGAGGCTTAGGTTGGATATTAGGAAAAACTTTTTCAATAGGAGGGTTGTGAAGCACTGGAATGGGTTACATAGGGAGGTGGTGAAATTTCCTTCCTTAGAGGTTTTTTTGACAAAGCCTTGGCTGGGATGATTTAACTGGGGATTGGTCCTGCTTTGAGCAGAGGTTTGGACTAGATAACCTCCTGAAGTCCCTTCCAACCATGATGTTCTATGATTCTATGAAACTCAAATGAGTTCTCAAGAAGCATTTTTCATGTTTTGCCTCTCTGTAAATTTCTGTTATCATAGATGGGATTTTTTTAATCCACGTGAGTGTCCTATGAAATTGACATTTACTGATAAAAATCTAATCCTTCCAAGCCTAATAATAGTTAAGAAATAAGGAATCCCACAAAAGAAATAGAGATGCTGAATAAGGGTATGTCTACACTACAAAATTAGGTCGAATCTATAGAAGTCGGTTCTTTAGAAATCATTTTTATACAGTTGATTGTGTGTGTCCCCACACAAAATGCTCTAAGTGCATTAAGTCAGTGGACTGCATCCACAGTATTGAGGCTAGCATCCACTTCCGGAGCGTTGCACTGTGGGTAGCTGTGAGTAACTATCCCACAGTTCCCGCAGTCTCCGCTGCCCATTAGGATTCTGGGTTGAGATCCCAAAAAACGGTGTTGTGGGTGGTTCTGGGTAAATGTCGTCAGGCCCTCCTCTCCCTCCCGCCCTCCGTGAAAGCAACGGCAGACAATCATTTTACGCCTTTTTTCCTGGGTTACTTGTGCAGACGCCATACCACGGCAAGCATGGAACCTGCACAGCTGACCGTCACCGTAAGTCTCCTGGGTGCTCGCAGACATGGGACTGCATTGCTACACAGCAGCAGCTCATTGCCTTTTGGCAGCAGACGGTGCATTATGACTGGTAGCCATCATCGTCGTATTCCTGGGTGCTCTTTTAACCGACCTTGGTGAGGTCAGTCACGGGTGCCTGGGCAGACTCCTTCTGCTGAGCACCCAGGAGACGACAATGGCTAGCAGTCAAACTGCACCATCTGCTGCCACCCTAAAGATGTAAAAGATAGATGGAGTGGATCAAAACAAGAAATAGACCCGATTTGTTTTGTATTCATTTGCTTCCTCCCGCACTCCCTGAAATCAACGGCCTGCTAAACCCAGGGTTTTGAGTTTGATTCTTGAGGGTGCCATTCTGTGTGACAGTTGTTTGTGTTTCTCCTTGATGCAAAGCCACCCCCTTTGTGGATTGTAATTCCCTGGAAGCCATGTCGTCAGTCGCCCCTCCCTCCGTCAGAGCAGACAATCGTTTCGCACCTTTTTTCAGCCCAGACGCCATAGCACTGGGATCATGTAGCCCGCTGAGATCACTGCGGCAATTATGAGCACTGTAAACACCACACGCAGTATCCTGGAGTATATGCAGAACCAGAACCTGCCAAAGCAAAACCAGGTGAGGAGGCGACGGCAGCATGCTGATGAGACTGATGAGGACATAGACATGGACATAGACGTCTCGCAAAGTACGGGCCCCGGCAATGTGCACATCAAGGTGTTAATGGGACAGGTTCATGCTGTGGAACGCCGATTCCAGGTGACCATGAATGATATCACTCTCCTGAGGATAACACTAGAGAGAGATAAGGAACAGATATTGTCTGAATGCCAGCAAACACCGGGATTTGCACTCCATCCCCATACACGTTAACAGACTTTTGCAGTAGCTGTACTGGCCGCAAATGCCAGGGCAGATTAATCATTAAACACGCTTGCTTTTAAACCATGTGTAATATTTACAAAGGTACACTCACCAGAGGTCCCTTCTCTGCCTACAGGGTCCGTGAGCATGCCTTGGGTTGGTTCTGGGGGTACTGGCTCCAGGTCCAGGTCCAGGATAAGAAACATATCTTGGCTGTTGGGGAAACCGGTTTCTCCGCTTCCTTGCTGTGAGCTATCTTCCATCTCTTCGTCATCATCTTCCTCATCCTCAAAACCTGCTTCCTTGTTGCGTGATTCTCCATTGATGGAGTCAAAGCACAGGGTTGGGATAGCGGTGGCTGCACCCCCTAGCATGGCATGCAGCTCAGCATAGAAACGACATGTCTGTGGCTCTGCCCCGGACCTTCCGTTTGCCTCTCTGGTTTTGTGGTAGGCTTGCCTTAGCTCCTTAATTTTCACGCAGCACTGCTGTGCGTCCCTGTTATGGCCTTTGTCCTTCATGCCCTTTGAGACTTTTTCTAATGTTTTGGCATTTCATTTACTGCAACAGAGTTCAGCTAGCACGGATTCGTCTCCCCATAGGGTGAGCAGATCCCGTACCTCCCGTTCGGTCCATGCTGGAGCTCTTTTGCAATCCTGGGACTCCATCATGTTTACCTGTGCTGATGAGATCTGCACTCACCTGCACCTTGCCACGCTGGCCAAACAGGAAATGAGATTCAAAAGTTCGCAGGCCTTTTCCTGTCTATCTGGCCAGTGCATCTGAATTGAGAGCACTGTCCAGAGTGATCACAATGGAGCACTCTGGGATAGCTCCTGGAGGCCAATACCATTGAATTGTGTCCACACTACCCCAAATTCGACCCAGCAAAGCCGATTTCAGCGCTAATCCCCTCGTCAGAGGTGGAGTAAGAAATTGATTTAAAGAGCCCTTTAAGTCAGAAAAAAGGGCTTCATCGTGTGGACGGGTCCAGGCTTAAATCGAGGTAATGCTGCTAAATTCGACCTAAAATCGTAGTGTAGACCAGGCCTAAGAGTGCTTGTCAGTTTCAGGGACACATTTTTAATGGCATTTAAGTATGGAGTGGGATGTTTGAAAGCATCTAGGCACTTACCTCCCACTGATTTCAAAATCCCACTAGGTGCTTAAACATTTCTTTTAAAATCTGGCCTGGAAGGACTTTGCTGTAATTAAAGAGAACACAAGGCCATTTAGAACTTATCCTGAAGTAATACAATATTGAAGGAGTGTGGCCGTTAAGTATCTAGCAGCCTTCGAGGTCTTTGAGTAAACAAAGGCTAATCCTACTTTTGGAGAAAGTAAATTCAGTTACTATTTTTTTTATTAACGATCAACAGAATTGGTGACAGTACAATTTTTTATTTATTTATTTTTTACAAGCATAGTAAGAAGCACAATGTCAGGTGTTGTAGGTCTGGTAATTCAACCAAGGTAAAAGAGTTATTTCTAAAAGACAATATTTTCCATCAGTTAATCCATTTTGTTCTTGATTCAGAACAAATCCCAAAATTTCAAATTTCTCTGTGAAAAGACCCTGGAGTTGTGGGTTCCCCCTGATCCCAGGCAGTCTTCTGGCCAGCCCATTCACTCCCAACTCACCACTCTCTCCTCAAACTCCATCCCCATTCCAAGTCCTCTCATACCAAAACTGGTCCTTAGTTATGCCTGTGAAAATGCAAAGAAACATCCATTGTCAGCGGGGCCTGCACCCACTCCTAACAGCCCAGCAAGTAGGAGTCCCTGCATCCTGCCAGTCAGTCTGGGAGCTAGAAAATCAGACAGGCTGAGTCCAGCAGCCACGAAGCAGAATAACCTCTGTGTTTATTGCAATTGCCCTGCAAGGGGCACTACGCTTCCTGAGTGCCTTTGGATCAACAAATACCTTTCTTTGCCCCCACTCACACCTGATAGCAACTGAGAGGAAAAAAGGAATTCAGTCTGCAGACTTCCCCTAGCTATTTCTTTGTACTTATTTTCAGCTTTGATTTTTATTGTGATTTTTCTTGCCTAATAGAAAATGTATGGAGTGTATGGCAATTTTTATGGAAAACTGTGACCTGTATCTGCTACTGGACATGGGGGTACACCAACAACTTTCTGTACACAGATGGTAAGCAAAATCCATTTGAATTGCACTTTCCACATTTGTTTCTACATCTGGGGTATGAATTTCCCTGTTTTTCAAGGTTCTGTTTTGACAGAGAATAGATTAAATAGAAAGTAATGAGAAAAAGGCAGCCATGTTGTATAATGGGCAGAAGAAGGCAGCAGAGGGTGAGAGACAGGAAAGGGGCAGCTATACTGTGCAATGTGTTGCAGGGGGCAGCAGATGGTGAGAACATAAGAACAGTCATACTGGCTCAGACCAATGGTCCATCAAGCCCAGTATCTTGTCTTCTGAAAGTGGCCAATGCCAGGCACTTCAGAGGTGATGAACAGAACAGGTAATCATCAAGTGATCCATCCCCTGTCACCCATTCCCAGCTTGAAGGGGTGGGAAGGGGTTGTTATACTGTATAATGGGCATTGGGGGAAGCAGAGGGTGTATGGGTGGGGAAGTGGCAGCTATACTGTATAATGGGAACTAGGGGCAGCGGAGGGTGGGGGTGGGAAAGGGGCAGCAGTGGGGAAGGGATTGGGGAGGGGTAGCTATCCTATAGCCCACAAAGAGCTTTAAAGATAGTGTCATGAAAATTATCACAAATTCTGTATCTAATAACCTGTTTATCGGCCTCCACGTTACCATATTACCTGAGTGTCTGGTGATAGCTGAGAATTTCCTGAGGTGCAAAAATGAGAAATAACTTTCTCAAGGCCCCAGAGGGAGGATGTTGAGGACTATGAGAATTATCACAAACCTATGAAAATAATTGTGCACAGGAGAGAATAAAAGCAGCAGTAAAAATGGAATTTCTGCTTTTTGTTCCAACAAACTTTTCTGGATATTTGTTTTGGTTTGATTTGCATTATCCACTCACCACTGTTTGAGAGCTAGTGTGGCAATGTATTTTACAAGGTTTTAAAACAATCAGATTGCAAGGTGTCCCCAACCATCATTAAGGCAAGAGGTATTCTTTACAGCTGGTCAACATTTATCAAGTGATATTTTTATTCTGAGTAGAAAATGGCCATTTTCTAAAATCAACTTTTCACAGAACAAAATCAATTTTTTCGGGAAATTATTGGATTAAAATCTCTGTTGTTGTTCATGAAAAGGAGAAAATGAGTCAGCTTCCATCCCTGTGGAATGAAACAATTATAAAATTTCAACTCTTTTTTTGTGGCGGGGAGGCAGATCTTTTTCATTTTTTGACCAACTAGAATTGCCTTTTTGAGTGTTCATGGGAAGTAAATAAAAGGGACTTCATATGAAATCAGAAGGGAATGTGGGGCTTTTGTTTGGACAGATGATTGTCAGTGCGTTGTTGTTGTGAGCTACTGTCAAAGCAAACAGTAGATGTGCTATGTATTAATATGATTCAGAATTTGCCCTGAGTCAGAACTTCTTTATAAGGCAGCCGGGATTCTCCTAAAATGGAGATTTACCAAACGCTGGCTCAAATATGTGTTTGTTGATGATGCCCATGTGTCACTGAGGTGGTTTAGATGTTAATTTCACAAAAGTAGAGCTGAAGTTTTTCAAGGAGCCTCAGGGCAAAGTTTTGGTGCCTAAAGATATTGATAGACATCTGGGGTTAATGGGATTCAGACTGTTTTCAGGCCCAGATTGTTAAAGGTATTTAGGCATTGATGTGGTCAGCATTGCAACACCAAACTGATTTAGGACTATAGGGAGCCAATTGGATTTTGGCTCCTAAGTGCCCAAATCCCTTTGAAAAATTGAAATTAGGCTCCAAAATCTGTTAGGTGCTGAGGGCAGAAGTGCGTAAATACCTTTATCAATCTGGGCCCTGGGAGCTTTTGAATACCCACTGGGCCTCTCTCTGTATCTCTAGGCAGCAACCTACCTTTGCAAGTCTGGCACCTTGTGGTAATTACAGAAGCACGCAAGCAGGGTAGGCACCTAACTCCCACTAGTTTCAAATGGAATTCGGTGCCTGACAGTGACCATGATGGGGGACATCATGCCTAACAGCTAGAGCAAGAGTCATGCCAAGTGGTGACAGAAGGCATCAGTAGCCAGGAATTGGAGCCGATGGTCAGTGCCAGAGTCAAAAGCAGGGGGCCAGTGCCGAGGGTCAAATGCAGAGTCAGAGGCCAGGAATCAGAGCCGGTTACCTGGAGCAAGGCAAGGTGGGTGCAAGACTGGGCACAGGGCAGAAGCAGGAGCTCTCCCAGCCATGAGTGATTGCTTTGAGCTGCCAGCACCCTGCCACTGGTCATAAGAGCAAGTCTGCAGATCCCCACAGCCAGGTGGCTCAGTGGGGGCCCAGTAGCACTCATTAGACTGCGGGGGCGAGTGGGGGGCGTTAAGCTAGCATGTAAGCAGGATGTCTGTGGGTCCTTACTCCTGACAGTGCCTAACCTGGTTAGATGCCTTAGGAAATCCCACTAGGAGTTTATCTGCCAGCTTAGGCGCCTTTGAAAAGGCACATGGAATTCAGGGGGATTTGGGCACCTCACTCATTGTGACTCCTTGGAAAAATCACAGCCTAAAACAATATGTGGATGCACTTTCGCAGGCAAAGCCCAATCTACTGGATTGACCAACGAAGAATTCATCCACTTGATCGATGCCGGCATTGCCATAAATTCCGCCTACCCCCTCGTTCTGCGCCCAGAGAGGAAAGTGAAACTGATCCTCTCCTTCGACTTCAGTAGCGGGGATCCTTTCGAGGTAACGACTGTTATTTATTGTGATGTCTCCCAACATCCCAATTGGGATCAAGCACTACACAAATACCCAGAACTTGACCCATGACCCAGTGAGGTTACACTGTTGTTAGTAGCAGTAATTTAGATTCCCTGAATGTTTTGTGGGAATCACAATTTGAGATGTGTGGACATATAGGATCCACTGGGAATATTTCCCTTATTACCTGCAAGTCACTTGGGCTTGGGGTAAGGGCATGTGACCAGTCATGACATTTCTTTCCCTTTGGATATCGTGGAAGAAGAGGAAATTCCTTGAAGTTCAGTTTTATTCTGTGCAAAAATGGCAACTGCTTACTCCACAGATGTGCCCCTGTGTGTATCACAGTCTTATCTGATGTACTAAATGACAGCCATTAGGTTTGACCATTTTTATTTCTGTTAGCACCAAAGAGCCAAGAGCACTCTAGCAGGAGGAGACGGGGTCAGTAGAAATGTGAACTGAGTTCCAATAAGTCAGTTAGAACTCTGCAATTTTGCTAACCTCAGCCTCACATATGACTAGTGCGCCATAGGTGATATTGTCTCCTTCTAGTGGCCACACTACTATAACACTTTGCTACTTTGTTTACATCGAGTACGAGTTTTCCTATAGGTGAATTTGAAAAAAAACGAAACAAAACAAAAATCAAACTTTGCTTTTGAAGCTAAAGTTCTGGGTTTTGATTTCTGTTCATTACCATGGGCTGAGGCATGGTAATCAAAGGCATCTAAGGGATTAATTTTAATGGGAACTGAGCATCCACATCCCTTAGGAGCTTTTGAAAACCTCAGCCACAGTATATGCATTGTTATGCAAAGATTCTGGCTATACAGATATGGCAAAAGGGTCATGTCTGGTTTCCATGGAGGCCCTCAATAAGTCAGTTCCTTAGAGGCTTCTTGGAATGTTTGTACACTGTAGGTTAGGGGTATTTTTAACTCTCTAGCCTGCCCATATTAGTGATATCACGTTTTATTAGTGTAGATGGTCATTTATTTATTTATTTACTTGTTTATATTTAAATCACTTTTCCCTCCTTCCCAGACCATCAAGAAAACTGCCAAGTATTGTCAGACAAATAACATCCCATTTCCCGAGATAAAGCCAGAAGAGATTAAGGACATTGATAACCCCTCTGACTGCTACATCTTCAAAGGAATAGCTGTTCCTGCCTTCAAAGGAAAAGATGTTCCTACCGTCATGCACTTCCCTCTCTTCAACAACAAAAATTGTCCAGGTAACTTAATTGTACACCACTCTTCTAAAACTCTACAGGCTAGATTCATAAAGGGACTTAAGTGCCTCATTGCTGGTTTAGCCACCTAAATGTCAGGATCAGGCCTCATTGGGGATCACAAAACCCCTGCTCAGCTGCCACCAGACTCTGTAGGAATCTACATTTGCTCAGGGCCTAAGATCTGCAGAAAAGTTCTCTCAGTGTCTGTGTTTGTGTCTCTGGGCATGTCCACTGCTGCCCCATCCCAGGCTCCCAGATGCATGAAGAGAGGCATTTCTCCTCACTTGGCTGTGGCAGATGTGCTGAGGCATTGCCTGCAGGATCAGGCCCCTGTGTGCTGTCTCTCAGGCAAATGCCAAAACCAGTGGGCAAGGGGATATTGTGATGTGGAACTCCCTCAGTATCTCCTGTTGTAGCTGTTACACTTTGGATAAATAATTGAAGAGTCAGCAGAGCAGGGGGACTGTATGCTGGGCCCTCCACAGCCCATGTAAGTGCTGTAACCACCAGGCTATAGAGTGTCTGTCGTCACAGCTGCAAACCCCAAGCAGAGACAGGCGCCTTCCTCCAGCCTGGACTTGGGTGCTGAGTTTGTGGATCACTTTCCCAGGAGCCTGTCTCTCTTCATTCATTGCACCAGGATCCTGGGCGCCCAACTCAGCCTGTGTGAATCCCAGTGATTTTATAGGGGTCTAAAATTTTATAGGCGCCATGACTCTCAGTATCCCAACACCTGAGTTCCACTGTGAACCTCACCCCATGTGTCTGGTTGGAGCTCACTGATTGAAATGGATTGACTGACACTGGTGGACATGAGCAGAGGAGCTCAAGTATTGCCACTGTCTACCAGAGCAGGGTCCATCTAGCCTTCTGTCCTGACTCTGACAGTGGCCAACACCACATGATTCACAAGGAGGGGCACAAAACCCCATAATAAACAATTACAAATAAACCTTTCCTGGAGAAGTAGTTTTCATATGGGCTAATGCAGGCAGGTTTATATCTTTTGCATTGTCTTTAATCCAGGGATGTTTGCATAATATCCAACACTTCCTACAATCCTATTGTGACCGGCCCATGGTAGTCCCTGTGGCAATGAGTTCCACAGGTCACTTGTGTGCTCAGCAAAATAATCCCCCATCACCTATTTTAAATGTGCTGCTTTTCAATTGATTGAGAATCACCCTGGGGTGAGAAACTAGGTCCTTTGGTTCACGCTAATCAAGACAAAGGTGCAAATTCTTTTTGATCAATGTTTTAAATTGTTTTATATATATTTTACTCAAATAAAATGGATTTCTCTAGATTTTCACTCTCTGTAACTGAGAGGAGATGTGGCAGAACAGGCCACCTTCAGTGGGGAGTGGAAAGGGACCTAACTGGTGTCACTTACACTTCCTCTTGGCCTGTCAACATGTGAATTACATGAGATATAGACTCCCTTGGACTCATTGGGCAGATTCAGCTTTGACCTGCTGCACTGGTCATGTAATTGCAGATCCTGAAAAGGATTTGGACACCTAACTCGCATCAATCTTCCAGCTGCCCAGCAAACAAAGGTGTCTGGAAGATGTGTGTTTTTCCTAGTTTGCAAAGGGAAGGAAAATACAATAGATAAACTGAGGATGGTAGGGAAGATAGGGGCAGGGACTCATCAATAGAGCATCTCCTTGTGGCCAGGTGTGAGCATAACGTCTCTCTCCCCATCTGGAGCCCCCAGCTGATGGTCACTCTGGTGGACTGCCTTTTCCCAGGACTCAGCCCTTGGGTCAGGTCATAATGTAAATCCACCCATTCCAATGTACCAGGGTGCCAGAAAAAAGTCTAGTGTCCTTATATCAGGTCTCTGGCACCAACTCTAGATCCTAGGGAGCTTCAGCAACCTTTCCACGTGACTTTCAGTCATCCTTGTCCCCTTCTCAAGGACTTCATGCCACTTTCTCCTGTGGCTGGTAAGGGAACCCTGGCCCACGCACTCCACCGGGTTGCAGCCCAGGGGCCCTATAACCAATAATCAAGGTCCACTCCTTTCACAGGCCTTCTCCCTCCAAACCTCTCTAGGTTCAGCCTTCTTTCAGGGCCAGGGCTCTCCCCTGGAATCCCCTAACAAAAATCCTAAAATAAAAGGATGAACTCAAGCCAATTTCTATCCTTCTCAGGCTTGGCCTCTCATCCGTCCCTACTGCTTTGTTCCTCTGTTGAGCAACTCCCAGGGCTCTTTCCCTGATTCTCCAAATCCTGCCCTTTGATCAGGGCTTAGTACTGGAGCCTGCTTTGTTCCAGTGGATGCTTTCTTTCACTGCCTCTTGCCAGATTTCCAAACTCAGGAGACCATCCCTGGGGCCAACTCTCTTCCATATCTCTCCACTCCCTAACCCAGACAGAGGTCCTCCTTGCAGCCCCCTTCTTCTGTGAAATGCCTGCCTTCATGGAGCTCACCTAGCACCCACCTCAGCTGGCACTCACCTTCAGTTAAGTCTGACTCTCCCTCCAGGTGCAGCCAGGTAACATACAGTCAATCGCACCAGTGTATACGGATAGATAGATAGATAGATAGATAGATAGATAGATAGATAGATAGATAGATAGATAGATAGATAAAGTGAGTGAGTAAGTGTATGGGGATAGCCTATCTATCTATCTGGCTAGCTAGCTAGCTAAGCTCCCTTAAAAGCATGAGATGGGCTTAAAATCATGACATTGTTAACAAAACAATAAGCATTTGGTTATTTGTATTTGTTTGCTGGTCTCTAAGCCTTTAAAGTGCATCAGTGTCATATTTTCCGGATTTACTCTGAAACCTAAGGACTGGAAACTTACTTTTGAAAATATAAATAACAGCTGCGATCCTCATCTAATCCTGATAAGAGTCTTCAAATATGTTAAGCGCTTTATAAAGAGGATGGGATCAACAATTCTCCATGTCCATTGAAGATAGGACAAGAAGTCATGGGCTTAATGTGGAACCTGGGAGATTTAGGTTCACTATTAGAATCATAGAACTATAAGGTTAGAAGGGACCGCAAGGGTCATCTAGTCTAACCTCCAGCCAAGATTCAGGATTTATTCTGTCTAAACTATCCTGGACAGATAGCTACCCAGCCTTCTTTTGAAAACCTCAGTGAAGGAGATTCCACGACCTCCCTAAGCAGTTTGTTCCATTGTCCTACCATTCTTACAGTTAGGATTTTTTCCCAGAGATTCAGTCTAAATCTACTGTGCTGTAGTTTGAAACCATTGCCTCTTATCCTGCCCTCTGTGGCAAGAGAGAATAAATTTTCTCCATCTTTTTTATGGCAGCTGCTAGGGTTCCCTCCCAACTCTGAACTCTGGGGTACAGATCTGGGGACCCGCATGAAAGACCCCCTTAGTTTATATTCCAACAACTTAGGTTAAAAACTTCCTCAAGGCACAAATTCCTTTTCTTATACTTGGACAGTATTACTACCACCACCAAGTGATTTAAACAAACATTCAGGGAGGGGCCACTTGGAGCCCTATCTCCCCCAAAATGTCCCCCAAAGCCCCTTCACCCCCTTTCCTGGGGAGGCTTGAGAATAATATACTAACCAAATAGGTAAACAAAGTGAGCACAGACCAAATCCCTGGTTTTTAGGACACTGAAAATCAATCAGGATCTTAAAAGAAGAATTTTATTTAAAAAAATAAAAGAATCACAGCTGCAAAATCAGGATGGAAGATACCTTTACAGGGTAAATAAAAAGATTTAAAACACAGAGGATTCCCCTCTGACTCTGCTTCCCAGTTACAAAACAGGAATACAATTACCTCTTAGCATAGGGAAAATTCACAAGCTAAAACAAAAGCTAATCTAATGCATTTCATTGCTATTACTTACAATTTCTGTAATTTTAGATGTATAATTTCAGGATCTTATTAGGAGCTGGTTTACCTACTTGGTCTCTCTCTTTGTCCTGAGAGGGAACCAACAAAGAGAGCACAAACAAAACCTCCCCCACACCCAATTTGAAAGTATCTTTTTTCCCCATTGGTCCTTCTGGTCAGGTGCCAACTAAGTTAAATGACCTGATTAACCCCTTACAGGTAAGGGGATTCTGTACCTCTGGCCAGGAGGGAGGTTATGTTACTGCATACATAAGGGTTGTTCCCCTTCCCTTTATATTTATGACAGCAGCCTTTTAAGTATTTGAAGACTGCTTATCATGCCCCACTTAATCTCCTCTTTTCCAAACTAAACATACCCTGTTCCTTCAGCCTTTGCTCATAGGGATTGCATTCCATCCCTTTGATCAATTTGTTGCTCACCTCTGGAGCCTTTCCAGCTTCTGTATATCCTTTCTATACATTAGTGACCAAAATTAGTACTCCAGATAAGGTCTATCCAGCGCTGAGTACAGTGGTACTATCACCTCCTGTGACTTGCATACTATGCCTCTGTTAATGCAGCCTAAAATTGCATTTGCTTTCTTTGCAACAGCATCACATTTCTGACTCATATCGATCCACCACAACTCCCAGATCCTTCTCAGCAGTGCTGCTGCCAAGCCAGTTACCCCCCATTCTGTATTTGTTCATTTGGTTTTTCTTCCCTAAGTGCAGAACTTTACATTTGTCTTTGTTGAATTTCATTTTGTTGTCTATAGCCCAGTGCTCCAATTTATCAAGATCCCTTTGAATTTTAACTCTATCCTCCACACTCTAGCTTTGTGTCATCTGCAAACTAGATAAGTATATTCTCTAGATCTACATCCAGGTCATTAATTAAGATGTTAAACAACATTTAACACAGAACAGATCCCTGTGGAGCGCCACTTGAGAACTCCCTCCAATCTACATCATTCCATTAATAGTTACTCTTTCATAGAATCATAGAATCATAGAATATCAGAGTTGGAAGGGACCTCAAGAGGTCATCTAGTCCAACACCCTGCTCAAAGCAGGACCAATTCCCAGCTAAATCATCCCAGCCAGGGCTTTGTCAAGCTGGGCCTTAAAAACCTCCAAGGAAGGAGACTCCACCACCTCCCTAGGTAACGCATTCCAGTGTTTCACCACCCTCCTAGTTAAATAGTGTTTCCTGATATCC